AAAACTAACTTCACATTCCACTTGCCACAAGAGTTTTATCGTAAAAAGAATACAGAAACAAAGCCAATTGTCTTGGATGGTTTGGACAGAGATAGCCCTGCCTTGAGCAGAGGGTTGGACTGGATGACCTCCTGTGGTTCCTGTTTTTCTGCGACTCTGTAAGTTTTGCAAGCCTCTTAAAAAAAACAAGAATAATTAACATGATTTAAGGATTACATTATTCAGTTATTCAGACAGCAGTGCTAAGGTGTGGGGAGTTGCTGGATTTTATTTTTAAAATGATAATAATGTGACCTATTCTCTTTGCTTATAGATGAAGACTGATCAGATAAAGTACTTCTTTTCAATTCCAGACCATACCACTGAACACCCATATAGCTCTCAAAGCTGAAGCTTCCTGGACATCTCCCAGTTTTTCCAGAGCTGCAAAAATAATCGGCCTGTCCCGAGGTGATACAATTGTGGAGGGGGGGGGGTTGGGGTGGGAGAAAAGATTAAGTGGCATCAAAATGGGAGTAACAGTCCAAAACATAACAGGAAGTACAGCAAGGGTAATATGGCCAAAAATGGCCAGTTGTGCCGACAGCTTTTACAGTATTATGTATCACCCCAACTGGAATAGCGTCCTGTCGGGTTATTCCCGAAAAAGTTTTCAGAAAGAAGAGCGAGTACCTGCTAGTCGATCTTCATTTGTCATTGAAAACCTAACTCCACTAACCACATACATACTATGTGTAACCTGCCAATCTGCAAACCCATCCAGTGACCAGTGCAAAATTTTTCACACGCTAAAACAAGATGCAACATCTGCCAGCAACAAAAAAAAGGATCTGGCACTGGGCATCTGGCTAACAAGCAGTATTCTGCTTCTCATCATCGCTGGCATCTTCCTCTACGGCTGCCTACATATGTGGTGTCGCAAGAGACAAGCGCGCTTAGAAGAACACAACAGGAATTCAGAACAAGAGAAAGGCAAAGTCTGGTCCAAAAACAAGTTTCACACCTCAGAGAAGTTCAACAGGCCCAGCCAACCACTCCAAGAGGATGAAAATGCAGATTGTGTCCAACTGGCTACCGTCAGTGAAAATCCTTTAACTTGTAAGGATCTGCCTGTCATGCCAACTTCCACAAGCCAGGAATTAGTGCCAACATCTGTACAGACAACCACCATAAATTAGATGTCCTTAATTAGTGAAGACCACTGCAAAGATCTGCTGTACACAATAACTGAAATATTTTAACTTACAGAGTTCTGATCTTTCACAGCTTGTATTTCAAATATATTAGTACCTGCTGGTGCCCTCTCATCTGCATTCTTTATCATAGCTGGCCTTCTCACCATCCCATACACGGCTAAAAGTTCTCAATGTTAAGGTTTAGACTACCAAAAATTGAGCATTTCAGCTGGGTTTTGTTAGAATAAGGAGGGGAAAAAACAATCACTTTATATGGAACTTTTGGGGGGTTTTGTTCTTGTTTTTTAGGGTTTGATGAACAGGGGAGGCAAGCAAGAGTAGATAAGCAAATAACAGCCTGGTTTCAAAGTCTAAATATACAAGGATGAGCAGAAGAAACATTTCTATTATTAGTAAAGCAAATTGAATTGAAAATTGCAAATGGAGACTGATACTCCTATGCTGCAGTCAGCTCATATGCATGTTACTGCAATACATTACAATAACTCATACTAGTATAACAGTCTACTGTTATGAATTTCATCTTCCTCATTCAGAACCAGGCTGCTTCTGTAACAGAGCAGTTCACTGGCATACGCTGTACTTGATCCTTCTCTTCCACGAGTTCCAGTCATACAGTATGACAACGAAATCAATCAGTTTGGGGAGGGGAGGATAGAGAGGGAAATGACTTCTCATTCAAAATTCCTCCCCCAGTTTAATAATGCATTCAGGATGATGACATGAAAAAGACATACTCTAGTTCAACCAAACAACTGCTCTGTTTAAGGCTATTCAGGGAGCATCTGGAGCAGCCTTCTCTATATGGTTTGTTACAGTTGCAAAAGAAAGAAAGTGCTCATGGCTCAGAAGGAAGGAGATGGTACTTCGGCACCAAACTCCTAGCTGCTCTCTCTGCCTCCTTCAGTTTTAGGGACAAAGACTCCTCAACAACAGGTTTTTATTCAACCAGCAATATTTCGTAATGAATTAAGGGCAAAAAGCAGCAAAACTATGGCCAAGCACATACGAGATTTTAGAAATGTACATGCCAACCAGTTGTCCTGGATTTCTTAGGAAGTTGCCAAAAGATCCTGGAACTGGAAGTCAGTAAACCCTGGGGAAAAAAACATTCCGGGTCTAGTTTTGCACATGCATGGTACCTAGTTTTAAAACTATTATGTGCATCTTTCTTCCTTTTAAATTGATAAATCTTAGTGTGACTGCATAATACGGGGTGTGTGTGGGGGGGGTTACAAGGCTGTAAGATATACTGTGACTTTATGTACATATTTTAAAATTGATATCAAATAAGAATGTCAGCTTAAAGTCAACTACTGAACCAGCTCTGTCTGTCACATCAGCTAAGGAAGGAGAAGTACTAGCGTGGCAGCTGCCATCAGTTCTAAATGCTTTCTGGAAACCAGAGTGATCTACAGGTTTGATAACAATGCATCCACTTAAACATTTTACAAAAGGCAGCTGCCTACTCCACTCCTGAAACATTTCACATCATTTGCACCCCAAACTTCAGCTTTCATAATGATAAACCAGTCACACATCTGGAAAATCAGCACTGGCACAAACTTGGTACATTTGCTCTCTTCTCCTGGCACAAAAATAGTTAAGAGACACAGCATACCTGGTGTGCCAAATGGACAGTGACTATTTATTCTTTCATAGGAACAAGTTTAAATGTGTATTACTGTACTAAATGAACATTCGTGTTCTGTCTGAACCTCCAACCTGACATGTTCTTCTATTGATTGCGTTTTCTTTGTCTTACACATACTATTTTAAATAAACTACATTTGAAGCCTGAAACATTTACTGGCATTTCAAAGCAGGCAACTGTAATATAACCTCCACAGAACAGGAAGTTGTCTTTGTAGGTTTGCTTCCCAGACTGAGAAATAAACAAATGCACTCCACTTGAAATGAGCCAAAAATCAATTATGTTGTCAGTTGTTCTACCCTTCATATAGGGTAGAGACATTCTCATATGGAGGAAAGTAACTTGTAGTTAAGGCCTAAAGCAAAGAGGCCTCTTTCTGTTCCCAACATTTACCAATGATTTGCCTATGCCTTTGGAAAGATGCAGAGAAATGAATTACTCAAGTGCTATAGCTATACAGACATGTAGTATGCAACAATCTGTTGATTTATGCTCTCTAAATATTTCCTTGATAGAATATCTATTAAAATATTACTAATTATTTGCCATTCTCAGCTGATACCAAAAAAAAAAAATCTTTCAATTACTTCAGGTAGACAAGGTTCTTTGGGACAATCTGATATTTTTTATTAGACCAATTCAAATAGTTGGGGGAAAAAAAACCCTATTTGAGTTGGTCTAATAAAAGATATCAGATTTACCCAAAGAACCTTGTCTGCCTATGTCCTTAGACCAACACGGCTACAACCTACACCTGTTGTATTACTTCATCCTTTTAATAATGATGGAGTGATGTTGTAGACATAGCACAAGAAATGTGAGTGGCATGGACTTTTTATGGATAATATCTTTTACTGGACCAGCTGCATGGCTGGAATAGACTTAGGTCCCTGGAACACATTACATTTAAAGTATAACGAATGTGTTAATAGAGCAATGCATTGTAACATGTGTAATTATCACATATTCAGGAAACTTATCACCCAGTGACAAAATGATGATCTAGCTACAAAGATTTTACTTATTAAATGTAGAATATCTTTGCAGCTTGTTTGTATTGTACTTTATTGTATTGAACGTGTGTTGTGTTACACTTAGGTTGATAGTGTTTGTCCAGGTTCTCTAGCATCTTTAAGGAGATTTTTAGCACCAATTCCCTGTGAGAGGTGGAATGTAAACACTCAATATAACATGCTTTACTTGCACAACATAGGGTCATAGGAATTTTTTTACAGTAAGGGTGGCCAGAGTTTGAAATGGGCTTCCAAGCGAGGTGGTACTATCACCTAACTTGGAGGTGTTCAAGAGGAGGCTTGATAGACACCTGGCTGGGGTCATCTGACCTTGGGCCTCTTTCCTGCCAGGGCAGGGGGTCAGACACGATGATCCTTTGTGGTCCCTTCCGACTCTACAATCCATGAATGTAGGGGAGAAAGAAAAAGCGTATATACAAAAGCCCCTTATAAGGGTGCCTAGGAAAGTTCAAGTCCCAACACTCCTGCCCATTGGGAGTCTCAGCTGGTGAACTCAGATCTCATGTCTCATAGCATAGCTAAGGGGGGAGGGGGAAATGAAAGTATCCAAATAGCTTGTGAATGTGAAACAGGTCATATGGAGCAACAGCATCCATTGAGCAACATTACCTGTTGCTTGATGGAAATTATGTCTGCCAGGGCCCTTATACAAGCTTTTGAAAGCAGTGAATTTGTCTTCAAATCCACTGCATTTGAAAGCTTGCCTAAGTTGATCCCAACCATGCAGATAGTCCCATATCACCCACAAAAAATCCTTGCTTTCAGGCTTTCACTAAGTTTAATACTGTACCTAAATAACAAAAAACATAGGGATTTTGTTTTAGTCAGTTTTGAAAAATTTATTTAACATTGCCATGAGTAGAACTGCAGTACCCATTTTCTCTTGCTTTAAAAATCTATTTCATAATAGCACAGTTTGGGTTTCTAACCTTCAGGAATCTGAAAATCAGTTACCTTTACATTTTTCACTGGTTTAAAGTACCATGTTCACCTGTGTATTCCTGCGATTTAGTAGTATGTCCTCTAATTTTAACACTGATTTGATGAGCAGGTATGTACTGATGGGCTACTTAAAACTGCCAGCGAAAGCTAACCAGTGAAAATGAATGCTGATGCACACGCAGTAAGAACTGAATGGACACTGGCACTGATTGGGATAGCTGCTCCTGGGATATAGGGCTGCTGGCAGGGCTGGGAACCTGGGGGTGAGGCGAGATAGGGCCTGCCCCTCAAATCCAGTGAGCAGAACCCCACTGGGGACACGTGTCAGCAGAGGAAGGGCGAGTGGCAGGTGCATTAATCCCTGTAACTCAAGAAACCATAGTGGGTAATGCTGCTGCCACTGCTCACCCAGCCAGTGAAGGTGGGTCTAGATGCAGCCTGAGGTCTGGACCCAGCCCAGGTGGCCAAGAGTGTTCAACACCCCTATTTTAAATTAATTAATATATACCCAGAACTCAGACCTCAAGTGCTTGTCACTTAGAGATAGGTGACCATATTATTTTGAAGGAAATCCAACATGGGGGAGATCAGGGGTGTCCACACCCTCCTCCACAACCCCACAGCTCCTAGGAGCCCCGATGACAAAGCCGGGTGGGATGGGACACCACGGAGGCCCGTGGGCAGGCTCCATACCCCATAAACAGAGGTTGGGGCCGAGGCTTGGCCTCCTATGTGGGGTGAGCCAAGATGACCACCCACTGCTAGCAGCCTCATGCCTGGCCATGGTCCAGGTTGTACATGGTGGCCCTGCGCAGCAGCCTTTACTTCATTTCTGAGTAATATCCTCACCATAACAGTAGTCACTAAATGCAGAAGGAAATCTGGGCATAACTACAATAATCAAAATGTTTCCATTTAGAATTTTTCATAATTTGGATTACAAGAGATGTTTTCAATTCAGACAATCTTCTCTGTAATTACTCTTTAATAGTGTAGATAGCTAACTCCAGAATTTTGCACAGAATTATTTAACCTGCATGTAACAGTGTTTGGAAACTGTTTGATTCAATACATTTGGCATATAAAAGGTGCTGAAGAAACTAGAAACATAAATGTATTTATGCTGACCTAAAATTTACTGTTTTTAGCTTGGCACAATATTAGAAAAAGAACCAGGTGTCAATAAGAAGCGCTTACCTAAATACTTTAGGTGCCTCTGACAACAACTCAGAAGGCATTACGTCAAAGAAATAAAAAAAAACAGGCCATAACTCATTCTTACTTAGTCCCTACGCAACTCAAAAACAAAACCATCCAGGCCCCTAATTCTGTAAAATGGTAAGTACTTTGACACAGGCACAGACATATGATATGCATTCAGTGCCTGCACAATGGGAACACTGAGAGCAACCTCCAGGCTCAATCATATTACAAAACTACAAATAGTAAAAATATACAGTAAAAGTTCATCTCTAAGTTACACACACACTTCAAAATATAGTCTCAAACCATGCAACTATAGTCTTCTAAAAATGAAAAAGCACAGTGAAGAAAGTATAATTAAAAAACCCCAAACCCTCATTTTTTTTTTTTTTTTTTTTTTTTTTTCCGTGTCTTTTTTTTTTTTTAAAAATAAATTAAAAAACCCCAAACCCCCATTTTTTTTTTTTTTTTTTTTTTTTTTTACAAATGCATCTAAGAAGCCTCCAGATTCGTCCTTCTGATAACAGTACACTTTAAAAAATGTCAAACTCTGTGAGGTTACTGAAGTCATTTTAATCGTGCAACCTGATGGGCATAAAAAAATCCACAGATAATCCTCTACTTCCTTCCATTTCACTTGCACTGAAGTGCAATTGATTAGATAAATAAATTATTTAATTGCTAACAAACTTTATTATATAAAAACCTCTCCTTTCAGTCTCTGCTGAATTAAGTGCGTTCTTCTTTAACTGCATCTGGGAAATTCCAAGACAAGAAAAACCAAAATAAACCTTGTGTAATGTTGCATCAAATCCCATTTATCTCACTTTCAGGCATTCTTCTGTGTTTTGCATTAAATAAGCATGTGATAGAATAGTGAGATGGCACTGAGGGGAAAAGCAAGGATTAGACCCCTGGGCACCCTCACTTCCTGGACAGGGCCCATCTCAATGGGCCAAAAAGAGGTAGGCTCCCTCTTTCTTGGCTTGCTCTCGCTTTCTAGTCCCAGGACTCTTTCCCTCTTGGCTGCTCAATGGGCCAGCTTCAATAAGAGGTGCAGAAGCTGCTTTTGCCCCTGCCTCGCCCATGGGCTGGTGCTTAGGGAAATTTGTTGGAGGAAAAAAAAAGAGAGATAAGTTAAAAAATGCTGGCTCCAGAAAACCTAGAGCCTCAATCTTCTACTTCCTGGGCAAGTGCCTTATTCCCTAAAATAGTAGACTAAAGGATAGGTGATGACTCACTACCTTTTGATGATGTTTTTCCTCCAACTATAGCTTCAGGGACTTCCTTAGAATGATGCGCTTTCCCAGGCAAGAAAGGATGGAAACAGAAGGATTAGTGGCAGTAGTGGGACCCTTCCTGAGCACCTTCAGAAGGACAAGTCCGGTCACACAGATGGAAATAGGATCTAAAAATCCACACAAGGAGTAGGTGAAATCAAATCTGGGCCATCAAGTCTGGTTTTCCCATTCTCAAACTATTTAGAAATGTTTAATAATACATTGTTCATGGTAATGTGCAGTTCACAGTCCAAATTTTCTGTAAGAAGATAATCCTTTTCTTCGCCTCTGTACTATAAAGCTGAAGACTTAATTTTACAACAGCAAATCATTAGCTTTGAACTGCAGGGTTGTAACTTCTGAGCTGTAATTTCAGCATGGTCAATAATTTTCTATGTGACCACATTTTGCTATGTGCTATGCTTTGCTATGTGACCCTAAACAAATTACTTCAATCAATTTGCCTCCTTAAAAGTTATATACTTCTAGTGCCTGTCTAGTTGTGGTGGTGTGAGAATTAGTTAAAGCTTATATAATATTTGGAAAAATATTAGGTACTGAGGATAAATTACCCAGGTGACTCAATGGATTGATTATAATTCTAAATGTTATACTTGACTGAGAAGACAGGGTAAATCATAACACCTATAACAAAATGTGAAATACTCCTTGCTTGCCTGCACTTTGCCTTTTTTTAATACTCAAAGACCATGGACATTCACACAAAAAATTAAAGTATTCTGTAGTAATTCATTAAAGTGCTGTTGTCCAAAATTATGAACATGGGATAGGAAAAAAATCAAGGTAAGCTATCATCTGCTCCTCCTTATAAACCTTTTTCAGAATATCAAGGACTAGGAAGTGAAATGTATTTACATCAAGCATTTGAAAAAAAATAGTTAAGAAGGAAAGGCATAGCAAGCTCCTTCAGTGCCCGGGGTCAGGGTGGAAATTATGCCAAATCCTGGAGAGCAGCAGGTTGGGGCAAGGGTGGGAAAACAGTGTCTTTACCTGCCCTGGCTCTCTGCACTTCGGCAGCAGCTACTACTGCTGTAGCAGAGTGGGCTCAAACTGCTGCAACTGGAGACCACACTTGCTGCAACACTATGGTACAGGTACCCCAGGGGCCTCTTCTGGTGCTTCATTCATTCCATACATCCCTGGCCCTGGTACATTACTGGGTGCAGGGATGCACCTGCCATGGCAAAGATCCTTTTGCAGAGAAATGTTCTGCTCCCCCTCCTCCACCCCCTCACATACATTACTGGCCACAAGGCTGCTATAGCTGGGCAGTGCAGGGATGCCCCTGCCCTGGCAGGGACTTTGGGAGAGAGAGAGAAGGTGCCATTTTGGGGTCCCTCTAGGTCAGCACCAAGGGCTGATGTTCTTGTTCACTCCCCACCTCCAGTTTGCACCACTGATGAGGTCACACAAAGAACACAGAAGAATTAACCCAAGTTTTATACAGTTACATTTAGGAATTACTTCTCTTGTGTCACCCATTTGCACAAAGCCTGACACTGACTGAACCAGAGTAAGCATCTGCAAAATACTGAATAGGTATCAGTTTGCAAAATCAGAAACTACCTAAAAGAAATGGAACTCCATGGAATTAGATAGAAGTGTCAATCTGAGCATTTACTCCTCTTGCAATAGATTAAAGAACTCTAGGTGGGTGTTAAAAACATAGGATAAATGTGTGAGCATTAAATACAACATTTCCCTGTGTTAACAAAGATAACCTATCAATTTGTGTGATTAAGAAAATATCCCCACAAGGAGCAAAAAGGAAATTATCCAATTAACTAATGGCACACAACTGAACAGGGCACTGGTCCTGGAAGCAAACGCTGCTTAATTTCTTCATTCTGAGTAATGCCATTAAAGTCAATGGGAAAAACTATTTACTTAGAGCTAAATGTGCACACAAGCATTTGCAGGATGTGGCCACCTTGGATTATGTTCCCTTTCTGTATGACTATCAGCAATTTGGGGGAAGGTACAGAAGAACAAGACAAGACACCTGGTTGCAACCCCTGGTTCTCTCATATACGCACTGTTGAGACCTTTTGTAAGTAATGAGCCTCCAGTCACTTCTGTTGCTTCCTCTGCAAAACAAGGAAGATAATGCTCATCTAGTTGAGCATGCTTGCTGGATGGCAGAATTCACTGATAGTGACTGGTAAAATCAAAGCATTTTGTGATCCCTGAAGAGAAGATGCCATGGAAATACAAAGGCAAAGGCAGACAAGGTTCTTTAGGTAAATCCAATATCTTTTATTAAACCAACTCAAATAGTTGGAAAAATTCTTCTTTGCAAGCTTTCGGGTACAGATACCCTTTGTCAGGCTGAGGAAGTGTCTGCAGATGGTCTGTACCCTTCCTGGATGGAGCGATAAAGCAGCCAGAGGCCAGTATGTATGCAAGAAAGCCAGTCAGTGAAAATGCAAATTGAGGTAGTCAGTGGGTCAGAGACAGGTGGGGGGCAGTGGGGAGATGGGGAAATCAATGTAGCTGTAGTCAATAGGTGGGAGTGGGGGAGGGAATTAATATAGACAGTAAAAAAATAGAGAGGTTACCTAGGGAGTCAGATGTTAGGCAAGTTATAATGTGTCATAAATCCATACATTGGATGGATTGATAACATAACCTCTCCAGGTAACCTCTCCACTTTTTACCAGCTATATTCACTCCCTTCTTCCCCCCACCTCTGTCTCACCTTGTCTACCTATGTCCTTAGACCAACACAGCTACAACCTACACCCATGGAAATACAAGGGTTTTTAAACTAATTTAAAGCAGCTTAATGGCTGGTATTTTGAAATGCTTAGTTTTTATGTTTAATTTAAAGTCTGACTGCAGTCTAAGCTGCTTTTCCTATTTGTTGTGTCTCATTTTTCTAATCATCATCTTCAGAAGGGAGCAGCTGCTCTCAATCTGGGCTCATATTCTCACCTCACTGGTTGATAAATTCTACTGCTTGTTTTTCATGAATCCTCCTCTGTCATGATAGAAATCTGTGTAGTCCAAGTGCGAGAGGACAACTCAGTTTAGTATCTGATGAAGCCACCCACCATTCACACTTTATCGTAAGTATTGCTGTACCTTTCATCCAAAAACAAAGAGCAGACCAAATTTTACCTAACTTCAAGATGTATGTATGTGAATTTAATGGCATATTTCACCACTCATCATTCTGTACTGTAAAATTAAAAAAAAAAAACCAATCAAAAAACCTTGCATACCTGGAAACACCATAAATAGAAGAGAATAAACTCTAACCTTTGATCCACAGAGATATTGGGGCTGTGCATTAGGCTGCTTATCTCTCTGAAACTCCTGAGAAAAGGGTAGCACAGTCCGAACAAATCTACAAAAGAAAAATACAGAAACAATTAGTTACACCTAATGCATTAAAATGCACTATGCTGCTTCTGTCCATATGCAAAAACCAAGACTAAAACATAATCCTTTAAGTAAAGGTTACTTTCAGGGACATGGCACAAATTGCTGTTGCTCGTCATCCTTTTTCAAATGAAGCAGCTTACTTAAGCAGGCAAGTAGTAGCAGCCAAGTGGCAGCTGCTCTTCGCATGAAACGAGCACTGCTTGAAACACCATTCTGGACAGGCTGGAAGACAACTGTTTATGAAACTTTCTACTTAAGTAACAATGTCACTGAGCCGAGGTCTCAAAAATCTAAGCTCCATCAAATATTATTTCCCTGAATATAATGCCAGCATTTAATTTTGGGGAAAAAATAGCTTTGAAGAACATTCAAATTTAAAGATATAGTTGCTTATTGCACATGTCACTTTTCTTCCCCTTTTCACAGTTATAATGGTGTACCAGGCAAGACTTGCTTTAGTGAGCTTTGTTGGTAAGAAACCTATTTTTCTGAGTCATTAGACATTCAGAACAGATGGAAAGGTGGCTTATCATGAAAAACAGGGAGGCATCTATGTAACAATCTGAGGTACACAATAAAAAACAGTGAAGACAAAACCAAAAAGGGTAAATGGGAAAAGCAATTAGTTAAGGAAATCAAGAAGCAGAAAGTAATATTTAAATATGTTTCATATAAAAGGAACAGCAGGGTGGAAATCTTGTTTACAAGTTGTCACAATAGCTTGTGAAACTAAGGATGCCCAGAGGCCCAAATCCTAAACCCTTACTCCTGTAAGAAAGGATGATGGTAGGGACCTCAACAGAACTTTGGTCATAAGAAGCCTGTTTGCAAAACTGGACTTCTGATATTTCGTGCAAGACTTTTCCACGTTTTTTGCATGATTATAATTTGGGCACATTACTACAAATTTAATAACTGATTTCTACTATAGCAAGATAACAATCCTACAGTTACATAAGTGTGTGCAACTATTACTGTAAGTAAAGTGATAAAATGTGTGCATTTGCAAGAGAGGGATTAAATTGTTAAAGTTGGCAAAGGGCATTTCAAACATGGCTCTGAAAATATGCAGGGACAGAAATATTGATCACACTAACAGCTGCAGGTTAGATATTTGGAAAATGAACAGGGGGACAGTCTATCCCATAATTACTTTTGCAGGATTTTAAGCACCTAGAATAAATAAGTATATGAGAAAGAAATTAAACGAATACAAGTTTCCTAGTTTAAAATTGAAATAAAACACATCTGAAACGCAACTTACCAAGAGTTAATTATTTAACCCCTATTTTTCCTAGCCATATCATAGGCACACCATGATAATTTTAGGATACCTATTTTCCAGCTAACATTAAAAATAGCTTTGATTTTCAAAGCAATGATAAATCTCTCAAAGATCTGGAGATAGGGAGAGCACAAGGATTAGAGAGAGCCAGGAATAAACAGGGACTGAAGACTTTTACATAATAGGAATAGGCATGAAAACTCCTGAACACAGAAAATAAACCATGGCTTGAAAACATTTCCTCTCTTCTTAGAGCTTTATTTGACATAACATGAACCCTCTTTGTGGATTCTATAACATTATATATTTCTGTATTTTAATAAAAACTACACAAAAAAGCACAAGATTTTCAGTTGTTACTCAACATGGCTTTTAAGAGGGTCTTTTCAAACTATTTGCATTTGTAAAAATCTAGTAACTGTCTGCATTTAACTACTTCTGAGGAAAAGATCATTTGGATATAATGCATTTGATAGAGTAAATCTATGATCTGATATATTAAAAAAAATCATTAAAATCCCCTTTTATTTGATTTCCCAGAATTATTAGTTCCCTCCCCGCCCATAGTATAGCTTGAATGCACTTAGGTAGAAGCTTTCTCCTGAGATTATTTGAATTTGTTCTTAAGAGATTTTTCATTAACAGGTTTACCAAAAATGTAAACATTTGACAGAATCAAAATAATCCTGGATTTAGGAAGAAATTGTTCTCTGTCGCGGGTCCCATTTTCTATAAACTAACACCAATTTTTATGCCCAGGGAAAAATCAAACCAGTGAAAAGAGGGACAAGAAGAACACCTACACTACACCCTAGCATCTCAGATGAAAGCAATTTGCAGTGCACCAACAGACTGACATATTTACCTGGGCTTTGCCACTTTTCTGAAGAATGTTAATTTACAGTTTCAAAAACAAGCACGATTCATGAAATATCTGAAGGGTGGTTACATGGACTATTCCCTGTGGCCGCAGGGGACAGGACAAGCAGCAAGGGTCTTCAAATTGCAACAAGGGAAATTTAGGTTGTACAAAGGGAAGACATTTCTCACAACAAGAGTGGTTAAGCATTGGAACAAGCTACCCAGGGAGACTTATTGAATCTCCTTGAAAGTTTTTAATACCAGGTTAGATAGACACTTAGACAGTTGTAGAGGATGGTTTCGACAGAGACAAGATAGTGCTTTGATCAGGGGCTTGGACCAGGCAAGGTCCCTTCTAACCCCACTCTTCTATGATTCTCTGATTCTGAAGTCCAACACTGCATCTCTTCGCACCTTTATTCAGGCCCATCCCTATTATTAATTAATCGCAAGTGTTGCAAAAGCAAGTCATCGTCATTAACTGAAATGTCTTTAAGTGACCAAAGAAAAGGGAGCCACTCAGACTCCCACTCTGCCTGCACCCAAAGATAGAAAGGTGCTTGCCTGATAAGTCAGTCTCAAAAGAAATACTGTTCCTGAACAACAGCCTTCTGAGTTATGCTATTAGTGATCCAAAATGCATCTCTCTGTTCAGACTAACCACTCGATACAGTCCAAAAGTTTTCCTATGTTCATCTCACTATCTCCAATTCTGTCACCACAACAGCAACCAAGTAGCTTTTCTGAGAAGTTGAGGTCAGGGTCCTGTGCTGTACTGTACATTACTCTCAGGTTTTCAGGGAAGAATTTCTATTTGGTCACCCTATAGAAAGCATTTGCTAGTGAATGCCCAGTCCCAGAGCAGCAGTACCGGGAAGCCAGAGCTGCTGCTATACGGCCAGGCTGGAACAGCAGTGCCAGCTCTGCGCCACTACTACGGGCTGCAACAGGGACAGAGCTTGCCAGCACGGAGCAAAAGTAAGGAGTGCAACGGGGGGGAGAGAGAGACAGAAGTGAAGTGGGGGGAAGAAACTGGGGGCTGCAGGAGAGGAGTGGCAGGGTGTGCAGAGGAAGGGGGAGGGAGGGTAGATGACAACTGTGCCTCCAGCTCTAGCTCCAGCCCCAACTCTGGGTTGAGGCCAGAGCCACTGCACCAGCCCCTTCTCCCCCCCACACCGCCTTATGCTCGATTGTAAGGCGAGGGGTTTCCCCCCCGTGGTAAAAGTGTGGGGGGAAACTTTGTTGTCTAATCAAGTAAATACAGTAGCACACACCTGAAGTTAAATGCAAAGCTGTATGGAGTAGGGAGCAATAAACAAAAGGCAAAAGTAATGCACCTGATTGTTTAACCATTGTCAGATGCCCATAATTGAAACTTGTCACAGTAACTCTCCTCATAATTTTACCACACATAACACTCAGTTATAAGCTTTTCTATTAAGTGGAACTTATGTCACTGCACATCAGGCAAGAAGCAAGGCAGACAGATTATCTACTTTTGACTAACACCTTGGTTGGTATTGAAAAGACTTGATTTTTATTTTTACAAATTGCAGGGGAGATGGAAAAAATCAAAGGAACTGTTGAACTCCAGAAAGATCAAGGATGTCAGTCCAATCATCCCTCATTTACACTACTGATCTAGATGACTGAGTGAGTATGTCTGCAACAGGAAAGATAAGAGTATCAGCACACACATTTATTAAATACAGGTCCAATAATAGCTTCCAAAACTATCCATTGCAAAATGCTAGGTAGCCCCCTTGGAACTACAGGCACACGTTCAATCTTCTAGAGTCCCACCTTCCACTCAGCTGAGGAATGCTGATGCCAGGGATGATGGCAGCAAAACAGCTGTAGAAAGGTACTGACATAGACAGCAAGGAGGTAATGCTTTTTGCATGCTACATCTTTGATGCGACAGCATTGTTTCTATCAGTCTTGTAAAGAGAATGTGAAAGTATTTATCCAATATTAGAAAAAGAATTAGAATTTTGATCAACTAACCAAAAGCAGATACCAAACCGCCTTTGGCAAAGGCATCTTGGGGTTTTCAGACAGGCATTCTAAGGACATAACAGATTTGAAAGAGCCACGAAGTGAGAGGAGAAGATTTACCCTTTTTCAAGGGACTCGTAGAAGAAAACCTTCAAGGCAGTTGGTTGCTAGCTTCTTCCCCAATATAGCCAATCCTCAGTAAGAAATTTCTACAAGCTCCAGAACCTTTGACTATGGACAACTTAAACCTTCAGAAGAAAAAATGTTTGAGAGATGAACTGGCATCTTCTGGGAAAGCAAACCAAGAGCCTTTCAGAATGTGTAATTCTTCATTCTTTGTATTTTCTTTCTTTTCTTTTTAATACAAGCCATATGAAAGGAGGACAGGAAAAAAATCAGAATGTAGTAAAAGAATTATCCTGGAAGCCCTAACATCTAGCTTATGCAGAATTAAGCCTGTGGTAAGACTGGAAATCCGCTATCGTGAGAGTATAATTGAACACAGAGCTACTCAGATCAGGCTTGTAAAAGGTGGTAAGCCTTAGAGAGCCTGCTGTCACAGCTCTAACAGGGCTGACCTCCTAATTTCTCTGTAGTTTACATTTAGATCTAGTATTTTGATCACAGTCACACAGACATTGAAACATATGCCATCTTTAGGATGAAGAAAAGTATTACACTGCTTATCACATCATGTTTTAAAAGCACATGGAAGATCTAACAATTATGAAGCCATGCTCTCTTTTGTCTTCCAGGTATCGACAAAACCTTGTCTCCTAGGAAACATCATGGAAATGAAAAAAACAAATCAGCTCATA